CATCTTCAGCCGGTCAGGTGTCAAATGCGAGGTGCAGAGCGTACCGCCCCACCCTTTGCTGTCTCAAGAGTCCATCCATTGCCGTAAAACATAACGACGTCCCGCGCGGCGCACTGCTGCTCTAGCTGGTCCGAGACATCAAAAGTTTCGAGATCATGCAAGCCAGCCCAGAACGGCGAGTATGACACCTGTTGGGCACGCTGGCAGCTACGCCGAATCCTGCGCGTTCCTACCCTGTTCGGCAGCCTCCCGTGACCTGTCATGAATCGACTCTAGGAAGGCTTGGCCAGTGCTTAGCTCATTTTCCAGAGCCTGTAGAGGCTTCGGATCACAGTAGGTCACGTTCAGTATCACTGCAGCATGGCAAATGCTCCAGCTCCAGAATCTTCCCTCTATACACCCGACAACACGCAGCGTCAGTCTACCATAGGTCCTTGAATCAGACATGGTGAGCAGGAGCACCACTGCGAGCAAAACCTTATGAGAGCCAGGAGCGACACATCATGAAGGCCAGTCATAAAATCTAAGCTTGGTATCATCGTCCTGCTGGCTGCGAGGCTGAGGTCAGAACGACATAGATTATGGCTTCTGCTTCGAGGCCGTAGGTGTCGTGAATCTTTGTCAACAATTGCCAAGAACCTGCCTGGAAAATGGCAGTTGTCAATCAGCGGCTAACGAAGAACTGTCTGCACCCTGTCAGCTCATTGAGGCACTTGCAAGCAATATCACGAAGCCACTCACATTCTTGCCTTAGCTGGCTTGATGAAGGCTCCGTGCAGCGTCGAGCGGCAGCATTTGCTGTCCCGGTGCAGCATGCAGCATGCTTAGTTGTTCAGCTGAGGATCCCCATTGGCCAGACTCCTTCCAGGCGCAACCCTGTAGTGGTTCTGGTTTTGATCCGCGGAGGGTCTGAAGTCTGAAGGTTGAAACGGCACAACATGGAGCCGAGCGCTCCTGAAAGATTGGGAGAAGTCCAGCCGACATGCTGACCAGGGCCAGGGGGGCACTGTAGCCTTGAAATGGCCAGCAGAGTTGGATGTCTGATGCACTAGCGCCTCCACCTTGCCAAGTTGCCCATCGCATAGGAAAACAATAGGATCGCTGAATTGCTCACACTGACCTTGTGCTCTCGGCTTTAAGCTTTCAAATTGAGCTCTCCGTCAAGCAAATCAGCAAACATGCAGCTTAGCTGCAGAATGAGAGGCTATGTAGGATGTTGTTGTGACCAGGACCTTTGACTCTCGTGATGCTCATGTGCTGCAAAGACACCTCTGGAACCTTTTCTGAAGAGCTCTGCTCGCAAAGCGCTATCCCGAGCGACGGGACTAGATTCCCATGCAGCGATTCTGCACAGCAACGCGTCCGGCTGCGGAGCCACGCATATGTCTCGGAACCTGTTGCTGAAATACTGTGATGCACTGTGTCGGTATCGTTTGTGAGTGCTCATTAGAATTTCGTGAGCACTTTTGTCAGTGAAGGTGTCATCACGTGTTAGCATTTTCCAATCAAGAGCACTGTGGCTTGAATCCTTTATCCATCCTTGTCATACCTCCTAGCGCACAGATCAACATGCAGTTGCACTCCTGAACTTCACTAAGCCGCACCTTGAGGAAGCTGACTATGCTATGCGCTACGCGCTGGATTGTACCAGACTGAGACCGATCAAGCACTGGCCCTTTTGTCGGCGGACTTGGATCCATAACCGTATTCCGGCAGGAGAGTGCAAATCGTCCAAACACACTGAGCCCGACCAAGGAGAGCACAAGGTGCTTGGCCCGCCTGCTGTCGAGGAGATGGGATCCCGCAATGTTGGCAGCGGACTCTATTTGGGAGGTGGGCAAACCAGCTTTTCTGCAGTTTTCCTGGCCATGCCAGAACACTTGAGGAGCGCCCGGACGGCGGTGTCATCGACAAACCTGATCCAGCGCCTGGCCATTTTGAGCTGCGTTGTGATAACCGCCAACAACTGGGCGAGGAGGGCGTTGGGTCACGAGAACGTAGATGAATGCTCGGCGCTGCCGAAGAGGCCAACCAGCCACACGAGCGCGTCGTTCGTATAAGATGATCTCCTCGTCATTCGCACAATGTAACCCCACCCGCTATTACTACTCGGACATGCTCGGCCCAATTATTTCGTTGGCATAGACAACCGCACGGGGCTGTCTCTTCAGATACCAAGATATGCAAGGCGAGGGCAGACTGCGGTTGAGGCAGAAATATGGGCTGCACACTTGTGTGAAGGAGATGCCAGCCTTTCAGTAAGACCGCAGGCATGGTTACGGGGCGGTTTGTCGGCGTCGGGTCGCTACATATTTCAAGCTTACACCCCACACAAGCGTGTTATTTTGTGCTAAAAGTACCCTGCAAGCCTGCAAAGGGATCCGGATTCATGTGGCAAGCACGTCATGAAACTTATTTGCAGCAGGCAGAACTGCCTGCGTCTTCTGGAAGGTCTTGCAAATGCGCAGTGAAGATCTTTGTCTGTTTGGTCAGGCTTGCATTGCATGTGTGCACTACTGTTGTCTGCGCCTGCGGTGCTGTTTCTTCGACCTGGTGAGCCAGACGTCTGGACTTCTCACAACGGAGCTACTACTACAGATACTACAGCACTCAGTACCCTTCCTCGTGCACCAAGATCTACACTGCAGGCAGTCGCTGGATGGAATTTTGCGGTCATGAAATTAACAAGAATATGCAACACTGGCTGCATTCGCGCTTCAGCTGAGATTGCAGCTGGCGTCGCGCAGGGGGAGGAGCCTTCCATTGCCATCATGAATGCTGCACGTTCTGCTGTTCAAGGGCTGTCCGACTAATGATGTACAGGCTCCAGAGCTTGCCGGCGCAAAGCATTACATTGTGCCAGTGGCATGAGACATTCTTGACACCTCTTCCTTGCCACTGCGCGTGCTCTTGATGGCTTCATCGGACCAGGATGTTAAAATGCCTTCTTTTGCCTGGTCACCCCCCAGCATTTTCAAGCTTTGCATGCCCCTGCCGGGGGCTGCAGGCTGCCCTCACTACGCTCCTGATGAGAACTCACCCCACTGATAGGGTCAACAAGGTGGAACCTTGCTACTTGTTACTGCTGATCTGATTCATCCAACTGCCTCCGCTGCCTGTGAGACCCTCCTGGCCTGCTGCACTGGCCATGCCCAGCAGAAATCCACGCAGCTCCTGTCACGTCTTTGTCATTGCAAACTTCCAAAAAATTGACGCTTTATTCAATCCTCTGACTCCATTAGACCTCGCTTCACAGTGCCATGTCAGCCTCACGACCCACTTACGAACATGAGGAAGGAAGAAAGAACCAGCCGTAACTACCCTCAAATGGCAAAGTCATCGTGTAATCTACACAGCTCCTGTGGTGCAGCTTCGATGGCCTTGCCCAAGCCTGCCAGCAACAAAGATCTGTGTGAGGGTCTGCCATGTACTGTCCGTCAATCATTTGACGAACTGCAGGAAGCCTGGAACTCCACTAAGCTTTAGCGGAATGATTTCCAACAAACCTCAGCGTGCTAGGCAGGAGTCTGGCAGCTGAAGCAGCCATGAATTGCTCCCAAGCAGCTCAATCCCATGACCACTGCCACAATCGGAAACAGCCAGGGGAGAATCCCTTCACGCCACATCCGAGCAAGTGCTGGAATCAAGAGCACAATCAGACAGAGCCGGATAGCGCAGGTGGTATCGTATTATAAGAGCGCCTTCACCGAGAGGCAACCTGATGTGTGCAGAGGGGCACTACGCCACGTCACATCGCTGTTGACTGCTCCAAGATGAGACGAGAATTAAAAATCCAAGCACCGGCCTCTCGCCCGCGAAGGCAACAGCAATACCCAACGCCATCAGGACCATCGCAGAACCTACAGGCAGCTCTGTGTCGCACATGTTTAACAGCAGTACTCACTTCACTGGTGCAGCCCGTACGCAACAAATGAGGCCTGGCCTGAGGCGTAGGCCAGGGCCTGCAGAACTGGGGACTGTTGCCTGGAGGCACTGGAGGTTGCGTGAATGAAACATACGTAGCCACGAAAGGCTGGTAACTGGTACCTGGTACCTTGACAGTGCTGCCACGGAGGCTGCCGCCGCTGGCAAGGAAGCTGCGTTACAAGGGTTCAAGGATGAAGCAAGGCCTCAGCCGGTAAGTTCTTGTATCTGCACGCAAGCTGCCAAGTCACCTGTGAAAGCTGCACGCCTCCCAGAAAGAGGATTGGGATCAGCAAGGGTCCTTCTCCCCTGGAAAGTCCTGCCGTCAAAGCTAACGCGCTGAAACGTGGACGAAGCACCGGCGGCTCCAGGGCCTGAGGAAACTACTTCATTTGCCTGAGAGGCCGCTGCAAACAGCAACGACCTTGGCCGTTCAGCGCTTGCGAAATCGTCTGCTGGCTGTTGAGATCAGGCCTCTGACTCCAGGCCAAACGCAGAAGAACTGTCCTGTGCACGAAGGCCACACGGCCGATCGTAGAGGTTTCTGCACGCACCCCGCAGTCGTCCAGCCTGAAACGCAAACAGTTCAATTTTCGAAGTTCAAACATCTGAAGGCTCTCTGACTCTTTCAGGCTTTTGCAGGTGCTGGGCCTGGCCAGCAGCTCTAGGACTTGCTTTGCCAATGGCTAGACCTTACAGCACGATGCCCTTTCGACCCTGCAACTTATGATGGGCAGTGCATGCATAGACCTGCAGCAGAGGAACTGTACACTGTCTGTCTGGGCTGTAAGGGGGCATGCAAGATGGCAGACCTTCATAGCAGACGTACAAAGACCATCCGCTTTGTGTATCTTGTTCCAGCCTCCAAGTGCCCAGCGCCCGCAACGACATGATGGAAGCAAGGCAACCCGTCGGTGCGTTTGACACAGTCTTCTTATTTCTAATCGCTACACTGGAAGCCTGTGACCTACAGGCCCAAGACACCTGATTGAGCACGGAATAAGCATAGCAGCATAGGCAACATGTCATCACAAACTCAGGAGGTGAAGCCTGCAAATCCCACATAGCAGTCTCTCCTGAAGCTTGATGAACATGTCCGTGCTGGCCTGGTGATGTGTCAAATTGAAGCAGGTGCTGCAGAATCTGCAAAGAGGCATAATCTCAGCCCAACGTAATACTAAGAATGTTGCTGTCATGTCCGGCAGGCTGCCGGCAAGTGGTAGCTTTCCACAGTCGCGAACAAACTGTGATACCTGGTAGATGGGAAAAACACAAATGCAATCGCTGATACTTTGCCGGGCTGACAGCTCGAGCAACAATCCAGAAGTCGCTCTTGGAAGCGTTGGCGACATGCGAAAGAACCTTCAAGTTCATGTGAAGTTTGGCCGAATTGTTCAGGAACCACTGATTCGGTTGGAGGTCCTTGATTGTCCGAAGTAGGCTTTAAAAGCACTATTTGCTTTCTAAACTATGGGTAATTGAGTTTTATCAAACCTGTCAGCCTCATGCAGCAATTAGGGTTCTAATTTCAGCTGCTCTTTCCAGAATGCTAGATTAGAATGCATGCCTCAATAGTTTTAAGCTTTAGGATTTCCGGTTTCAGGTCAGGCCCCAGTTTATCAATTGTTCATTAAATCGCTTATTCGACGAGGCCAGGCAATCGTTTTGCAACGGGGTAGTCCAGCAGCTGCTTGGGCTTTCATGAATACGAATGTATTCAGTCAGTCAGTCAGTCAGTCAGTCAGTCATACACCGGGCGGCGCGAGGACAGAAATGGCTCGGGATACCAAATGACGCCAGACAAAGGGGTTCTGTGCAAGTCTCGGTGCCCGTCGCAAAACTCAAATACTTTATTTGACGTCTCAGCCTCCCCACCTTCCTGATGTATCTGCTGGTTGTAGGTTGCAGCGTTCCGGGCATGAAAGAAATCTGGTGCATCGGATGCTCAGCCGGACAGAAGAAGTTGGCGCTTCAAGAGCACGTAAGTGGCAGCTTGACAACCCGCACGATGAAGGACACACGCATGTGAAATTCGAGAAACAAATGCGTGGGTAATTTGCAGAATGCATCCTAGACATCGGCTTGGAAAATCATCCAGACAACGTCGTTCAGCCGCAGAAAGAAACAAACAGCTCAAACTATTAATACATCAACTTTGATTCAATGAGGGCCCCGTAGATTTGAAGTTGTCGCCCAATGGTAACGAAGAATGTGTCCAATTGTTTTGCAATTGGATAAAGTCAGCCTCTGTCATCTCACTTCATGCCCAGGCAAACCATCACAACTGACAGTGGAACCTAGGCAGTCAATGCCACGTTTGGGTTCGATGCGATCTCCTGATGGACTGAGAATGGACGATTGACATGGAACCTGAAGTAGCTGACACTTATCCCAATGAAGCTCCATTCCAGGCAGTTGGCCAGCTTCAGCCCTCTTTGCGAGAAACTCTTGCAAGTGCACATTGGAAGAAGCAAGAAGTAAGGTGTCGTCAGCATAAACAGCATAAACAATATCTGCCAAATCGCCCCGACTGTACACAGTCAGAGAAGATGCATCCGAGTTGGAAACAACATCATGCATCAACACAGTCATGGTGATGATGAATGACAATGCAGCCCCGGCAGATGCTGAATCTTTGAGCTTCTGTCTGTTGCAGACGTGACCCCTTGGTCAGCATACGAATATATTGGGGGGCCTGACTTATCCGAAGTTTTCGAGGTCCGAAACTATTGATTTCTTATTAAACCTGCTGCAGTACAAATGTGACGTGCATGTATACTTCCCGCAGCCATTAAGTGCTTAATCCCCAACGTGGTTGACGCATCAAAGGTAGTTATAGACAGACAGATGTCTATACAGTTCTAGATCGTGTACAGTTTTTAAAATTGTGACATTACCCTTCTTTCTGTGCGCGTTGTGGAAAAAGAGTTGTTTAGCTGTGTAGCGCTTGCTGCCATTCCTCCCACAAGGAAAACCGCTTCTTCGAGGAGGCCAGGCAATCATTTTGTACAAGGGGATAGTCCAGCAGCAGCTTGCGTCCTCAATTGTTTTGGGGGGCTGAATTATCCGAATTTTTCCAGCCTCCTAGGGATTCCAGAAAGCAAAAGCCTTTGCTTGAAAGGCTCGCTACCCCCCCTATTGAACTTAATTTGGAAACAGCTACTGAGAGCCACAGCACCCCTTCCTATTGAATGTCAGTTGAACCATCTACTGAGCTCCGCAACCGCCCTCCTATAGAATTCATTCAGGACAGCTACTGGGCTCCGCAACTCCCCTCCCCATAGGAGTCCTATTGGATTCAGTCTCAAAATACTACTGCGCTCCGCTATGCTCCTCCCAGTGAATATTAATGTGAAACGGCTTCAGAGCTCTGAGAACTTCCTCCTCTCATTCAATCTATGGATGTACAGTGCAGTGCCTAGCGCACGTGAAGTTTCGGGATTATCCGGAACTAGCGACCATAGCATTTGCAGCCTAGCCTCCGCCTGGAAGAGACGCCTCAAAAAACTGCAAAAACCTTCCTCCTTCTACATTTTCTTTAAAACTACCACCCAATTTTTTGGGGTGGGGTCCCCCACCTCACCCCGCACCACTCCAGAGGGCCCACTTTCGTAAGGAGGTCTACACTAATCAGGCCCAACATTACCTCAAATTCTTGAGATTTCCTGAATATCTTTGAACCAGTCAGTCGCAGTTAAGCACATTGTAGACTCATTCGAAGGGATTCTGGACAGTGATTCACTGCCCATGTGAACCAGAATGAGAACCATCCCTAGTCCGACCTGCTGCACGGCATCAGGAATCACATAAGGCATCCACGCCTTCCATGGAACATACGTCTTCAGCAGAGATTTGTCTGAGCTCCACAGGCGCTGCATGGAACTCGCCTTGTAGGCGTTTGCCAGAGCCTTGCGGAGTCAGCAAAATTTGCAGTGCGCCAACCGTACCACGCCACCTCGTCAAAGTTGACCTCTTGTGGGCCGCGGCGCATTTTTGACACCTCTGGCCATGTCTATGACAGCGACAGAGACAATCACTGGTTTCCCTGAGGCTGCAGCAATGTCTTTAAACGCCTCCTAAGATCACGCAGGTGAACACACTACGGTACTTCTCTCTGAACCTCTGCACCCCAAAACCTATACTTTTGACTAGTGGCTTTCTCCGGGGACGTTTTGGGTAAGGTCCTTCCTTCGGCTTGTTTCCTGCGAGCATCAAGTGCGCCAGAATGACTGGCAAAGCCAAATGCTCCTCCAGGAGTCGAGAGCCCGGATGAGAATCACAACGTACGGCCTGCAATTCAGGTCCCAAGATACCACCTGTGTAGGGGCGCTCGCCCTAATTTTTTGGTTGCTCAGGGCTCGGCACGTGCGCGTGCTCCGTATCGTTCAAGCTAGCCTTGGTCCCAAAACCCCCGAGGGCGAGCTGAAAAATCCGGGGGCGAGCTGCCAGGATGCTGGCAAAGTCAATGGAGTCTGCAAACCTGCAACTGGCAAAAAAAGACACGGATCTGATAGGTTTCCCCTCTCCCTCCCAAACACCATGTAGTGGTGCATGCCATCCGAAGCAGAAAGCAGATGTAGCACCATGCGAGCTTCTAGCAGTTCATGTAACGATGGACGTGCTCGTGAAGCTCTTCTCTCCGTGACAAAGAAAGGTAGCTACAAGATCCTAAGCGGTCATATCTGAGGCACACTGATACGAAAGCCTTGCATCTCAAGAGCCTGCCAGAAGCCCGGGTCGCCTCCTCAACTCTGGAAATGGGTCTGTGAGACGCAGATCACCAAACCTGGCAGGCTAGGCATGCAAAGCTCATCAGACCACATATCGGCTCAGTCACTTTCAAGCACGGAACAGCGCACTCAGAGTCAGGTTTCGTCTCGCAGACGCAGTGCTCTGCTACAAACAGTCGAATCTTTCCTGGCATCCGGAGCAAGCATAAGGCTGAGGTAAGCTCACTTGTTACGCAGATTGAAGTGCCAGGTGGTATCAATGTCCGCTCTATCCCGCACTACCGAAGCTGTCGCCTATGAAGCCCACTGAGGTGATGAGCACCAAGGGGATCTGGAGCTCCTTGATCTAAAACTGATAGCTTGATATCCAGCTCACGCTCAGCTCAACTTCTCACGGCCTCGCACAACCTTCCCAGCTGCGCCATCAAGGTCTCCGTGAGCTGGCAGGCAATAACAATCGAGAAGTGCCTTGGTGAGTCTGGAACTCCGAGGCCCAGTCTTGGGAGAGGGGCTCAAAACAATTTTCGGAAACTGGACAGTCTCCATCAAATTTCCCGCACGATCATATTTCAAAAAGGACATGTGAAAGCTGCATCTTGCAAAGCAGACGGACCTAGGCATCGCTACTTGAGGCAGGCTGTGACTGTTGCAGGGCGATTTTCGAGAGAAAGTTCAACTTCCAGGCCCCTTGCTGGAGTTTAGCAGACCCTTCGTCAGAATTGCAAAGGTCTAGTTCAGATACGGTTGAAATCTCTCCCGGCAACTTCTTGCAACCAGGTGCCGGAAGAAGTCCTTCCCTTGACCCACAGCCTTTGCCGGATCCTCATCGATGTGAGCCCTGGGAGCTACTGAATCAGACAGATGGCTCCAAAGGTGAGGTCTTGTTGCCCCTACTGAGGGAGGAACCCTTGAACGTCGGGGTTCATCTCGAGCAGCCACTTGCAGGCCGCCTTAGGCTCACAGGCTCACCGCATTGGAAGTCAGAGCTACGCAGACTGAGGCCTCCGAGCGGAGTTTGCCTAGATCAGACTCCTCGCAGCGGGTCGAGGTTGGCCGCACTTCTCAGAAGCAGGACTGTGACCTCCAGAAAGAAGTTGTGCCCAAGGTCTGAAGCCTGAACAGACGGGTTCTGTTCTGAAACACCTGTTTGACGTCACCAAGAGCTTTCATTGGTGTAACCTCAACATGGGGTTCAACAAAGCACATCATCTTCCCGTCTTGGATTGCATATGGGCTGTCTCCGACATGCGTCTTGTTCCTGGAAAAATTGACAATGCGGCTTCCACTGCGTACAGTCTCATCGGTGAAGCTTGAAATCCACCTACCACGTTCTTTTTGGAATCGTTGGATCGGCAGAAGGCTTCTGCCGCGGAGCTTGTGTTGCCATTCACGTCTGATCAGGGACGGGCAACGGGCAACATAACACTTCCTGCAACTCATCCATCCCCTCGAGTCAAGACATCATGAGTCAGTTTAGACGCCCTAAAAATTCTCTAGTGCTGCCCTAACCGTGTTCTTTCTTTATAATAAGCTACCGATACGGGTAGTTTGGATGTATTTCATACAGAACAGTCGCCAGGCCTCCACTCTTGCGGAGTCCACTATCGTGAATTTCCCGATGCCTCAGCAAGGTATGCTGCGAAGGACTTTGGTTGCGCTGATTCGCTGATTAAAGCTTGCTGCTACTTGCTGCCACGATACCTGGCAGCACCAGGTTCTTCAGAGTTTCTGTGGCGATCGCCGAGGAGCCCAGCATGCAAACCTACCGGCAAGCACAGCTCACACAAGCCTGCTGCAAGTGACTGCAAAGCACTCTTGCTTTGCGCCTTTAGTGTTCAGAAACGGATGCAAGCATTGGATGACTTTGCAAGAGCAAATTTTGTCGCACATGCAGTTGATGGCTGGCGAGTCTGTCTGATGAATGGGCAGGGGTTGGAAAAGGAGAGGCCCAAGAAACGGCAAGTTGGAGACTTTCCAGCTACCAACTTTGAAGAGCGGTTTAGTTTCCCCAGTCGCACTTGACAATGTGGCATGGCATTGGCCTGCTTCCTTGTAGGTCGGGATCCGGCCACTCATTAGGTTCAACCTGCGCTGCTCGTTTCATTTCCTACAGCCGTTCAACAAGCATGGGCATGTGCTAGAACTTCCTGTTACAGCTGCGGATCAAATCCGCTTGATCCTTCGTGATACGTGCATGACCGCCACCAGAGCTTGAAAGAAACACCCCACCGCAACGTCATGAGCATCAAGTCGGCTCCACGGCTGGCCTGGGGTTTTCTCTGGCCACAAATATATGATATCATTGTCTGCGCAGACACTTTTGTAGGGCGCCTACTTTCTGCAGCAAATACCTTGAAGGATCCTGCAGCTTTTCCGGGTGATTGCCCACAAACTTTGAATGACATGTTCGTCGCCCGTTCGCAATTCAACCTGTCTTCCGAGCTGGGATTGCGACACATTGCGCCTCTTGGTCAGAGTTGCTTTGCGGGTTCCGATGCGCCCCCACCCCAGCTGATCAGCAAAGCCGCAGCCACCCTTTTCCCCTAGGCGCAGAGAGACAGCAAACCAAATTGAGCGCAACGCTCACAGAACGACTGTGGGGCGTCCAGAGTCCAGGCTACCACCATACGGACTGGCGGCTTACGTCAGCGATTTCGGTTTTTAACAGGGAAGAGCTTCCATGAAACACCTTTGCAAAGACACGTTTCTGTGTGCTCAGATGCAGCATACATAGCAACGGAGTTGCATACAACATGCTCCACGCACACAGCTATGGCTCATCCGTCACTTGCAAGCTTAAGCTACGTTGGCGGGAGCGATCATCTTGTGCAAGTAGCAACTATTGGGGCGTCCCTTCGGCTCAAAATGTAGTAGCCCCCTGGTTGACAGTTACATGGCTAAGCACGAAACAAAACTCGCTTAAAGAATTCGCACGGACTCAAGCGCGGCAGCGAGAGGAGCCAAAGAAGGCACGGTAAAGGCAGGTGCCTTTGCATCCATCAAAGCTCGCTGGCCATGCGCACCTGTCTGTGGGAAGCTTGAAGTAATAAGATGTAATAAGCTTCTACACGTGACTCTACACTTTCCAGAAGTGCTGCCTGTGCATATTCCCTCTTTTTTACATAGCTACATAGCCTTTGGATTCCCTCAAAAAGTATCTGCAATCTTCTGGAAACTCGTCCCGCGTCTGTGTGTTTCCGCAGACCTCCTAAATGTGCATGCTGAAGAAAGCAGATGCACCCCAAAGCCGCAGCTGCCGGTCATATTTGTCAGAGGTTGCCATGGCTTGCTGTGCTCTCTGGTGTCAACGCTAGACCTTCTTACATCCTCCGAACAATTTGATTTGTTGCTCGTTTCTTTGCTGAAGTGCTCCTTAACAAGCTGCGTTCCAATAATGACCTAGATTTGGGGTTAGCTGCTGGGGTATGATAAGCAAGTTAGCTCGTCATAGATGGCTTGCCTTGGTTCTGGCACACGTATTAGGCGAGAGGTTTCGCATCGACTGGCTGAATTGGGTACACGGCTTGTCACTCAAAGCCCAGAGATGATAAGCATGCAATGGCGCGTTCACTGCGGCCGAGCGGGCAGAAAACACGCGCCAGAGCAGGGCAGGCATGACATGCATGACAAACCTACAGAGCCTCCTGTGGTGCAAGAGCACTGCCATGCAGGTTTGCTTGCAGGACCTGTCAGGTGCCATGCTTTCGCTTGAACGAAGGTTTTGGCGACCACTGCCTTCTGCTGGTCAGCTGTCAGCTTGTGCACAGCCTTTCGGTACCTGACGGGTCAGAGAAAGTCAGCACTGGATCCAACCTGAAAACTTGGTCATTGTGGTCACCGGCCGTGCAAGGCTCACCCCCTAAAGAAGTCCAGAATCTCCATCTTGCAAGCCACGCGAGCTCGCTTTTGCTCCAAATCCTGATGCACAAAAGCGGCGGTGTATCAAACCACTGCCGCTCTCTGATTTGCCTCGGAGATCTCCTTGGTTGAGACAAGGCTCTAAGACTCTGAGTCTAAGCTTGCAGAAGGAACTTGGGATAACCTGTCGTCGAGTTGCAGGGGCCGAAGCGTTCCGGGCCATGGCAGCCTCAGTTGGCACTCGTAGTCTGCGCCAAGCATGCTTCGAACCCTCGACCCGGACTCGACCCGCCAAGCTTGAATGAAGAGGTTCTCTCTGAGCTGTCGCGCAAGGTTCTGACGCTTCTGCATCTTCATGGCCGCCTCCGTGGCTTCACGAAGAGCTTTCTCCTGAAGCACGCCAGCATCACGCTTAGATGTCTAATGGCCGGACTCGGAGCAACTGCCATCCTCCAGGATTTCATTGGTTCTTGCCTGCTTGGCCTGATGCAAGTGATACCAAGAAATCTCGCCGTCTGGGACTGTGGGCAGCAATTCCGAGGCCAAGGGACTGCTTTTCGTTCCTCGAGGCGTCGCTCAATTCCTTGCGGAGGACCCGTGGGAGGCAGCATGGCCTGCATTAACACAACCCGTCAAGCTCAAACGGTTTGGTCTTCCCTGGCACGCCCCAGCAAGGGGCCTGGGGACGCTGTTCTGGATCTCGCATGTGCGCCAGTACACCATTAGGACCAAAAAGCAGCACTCCCTGGCAGCAGAAACAAGAAAGCTCGACTACCTTTTCAGGGTAACAGACGTATGAAAGTGAGAATGCTCCCACCTCTTTCCCATGCAATCGCCGACTACTTGCGCGATCCTTGAAGTGACATCAGGCATCTCATTTGGGTCTCGTTTGCAAATGAGCCCCTTGGACATGACATGACAGCCTCGGAGTGCTCCCCAGGCATCTTGCCAATGTCCTAGTTGCCAACACAGGAAGCTTCGGCTTCGAAGCTCAAACTCAGAATGACAACGTGAATGCGTGGGGTGGCGAAGTGCGGATGTAGTCACTTGGCTGCTTGAGGCAGCAAATCAGCTCGCACTACTACCTGACCCTGCAAGACCCGTGAAACCGTTGTTGAGTCAGAGCTTTGGCAACAGGGAAGTCAGAAAGCAGGATCAGAATACAGCAAAAGCCGAAAGTGCCACAGTGAGTTCAGAAAACATCTCGACCTGACAAGCCTTGAACCCTATCGGGTCTTTAAAGCATGCAGTGGTACCGGCGAATCCAGGCCCCAAGAACCATAAGCCTCTGAAAGCTTGCAGCGCCTTAAGCATTATGAGCTCGCATGAGCTGCTGGCTGCTGCTAACTGCTGCTCGCATCGAGCTGATGGTTGTCCTCCGGGCTCAAGCGACTCGCTCTGCCACCGTAGCCTGCTGGTGGCTCCAGCTTTGCAGGCTGCAATTTCTGGACACCTAGAGCAGGCGAAGCAAGCGAAGGCCGCCCCTAGCGATTGCAACTACATTGCCTCCCTTGCCTGAGGGTCGCCAGATACGAGGACCCGGCGTACTCCCTACCTCAGAGGCACAAAAAAGGCTTGTTTGCAAAACGGATGGAAGCCAATGAATGCCTGTGAAAGTCAAGTCGCGCTGGTGCTGCCGGAGACACTGCCATGTCGGGAGGAGCCTTTGAAAAACCACAGGTCTGAGGATCATTGAGAGGACTCGCAGATTTTTGCCTCGACCATCAAGGTTCAAGTGGCCCAGGCCAATCTGCCTGGTGCGGAATACATGCAACACTTCAAACACACCTGGGCAAGCGGGCCCTTCGCTGTGAGCTCGCGATTGCGGTGAACCTTACGGAAACAGAGGCTAAGACCATGCCAGGGCAGGATACTTCAGAACAATGAACTGGAAGAGCTTCCTTGCTGGGGATCTGGCTCTGATCGTGGTCACCCTGCAGGGGTGAGCCCATGATATGCGCGCTTGCACTTCGGATAGCCGAAGGAGCCCTGCATGTTCGTGACATGGCAGATCAACTGACTCGTGAGCTCAAGGCAGATGATTGCAAGACCCCTGCACATGGCCAGCTGGCGGTGAGGAGCTGCCAACATTTCACAAAAGCCCCAGCGCGCTTTCGTGGTCTCGGGCGAGTTGGCGGCACACTGCAGAGCGAGAGACACAAAAAGCTCAAGCATCGAATCAGTAGGGTCCCACCACACTCCGCAATCTCAAGCGAGAGGCTGCCATGTAGAACAACAGCGCGGCCTCTGTTTCTTCGCAGACTTCTCAGGCGGTGCGGCGGCATAGAGCCTGCCACGCATTGGCATTTGGAATAGTAGCAGATGTCGAAAAGCAATCCTTGCCAGCGCAACCCTCCTCCGAGGTAGACCAGGTCCCCGGTGGTGGCGACAGGGACCCCTTGCCAAGCATATGCCTACTAGGTAAACGAAAGGCGCCATATCCCCAAGATCTAAGCACGATTCCTATTGGGGCATCTTGGAATCTTGAACCGCTTGCAGAGAAGTGAGGTGCCGGTTGTTTGCACTCCATGGTTGTTCACAAGATATCCCAAGAAAGACGACGGTTTCAAGAAGACACCATGTCTCAACTAAGAAAGCATGCTTCTTGAAAGCTCCTGCCCGACTGCATGGGAAGCAACAAGCTCTGAAGTGGGTAGACCTATGTACACACAGTATGAAGTTTCGACAAAAGAAACAAAGAATCTCATTTTAGGTAATCAGGTATCTTGTTGAATAGCGCTCTCCGAGCATTTCCAGCCTGGGCAATGGATGTTAGAATGCCCAACAATCTGCTCACGGCTCATGCAGACGTAGCGTTGAGGGAGTTGATTCGACAGATCCGTTGAAAAACTGCTGAGAAAGCACCATTGCCAAAATTGCATGTCATGAAATTAGATTCCAACTGGTTCGTCTTTCTGAATTTGTTGCGTGGCTGTTTCACAGAGTCGGACCCTTCAGGGCGCCCTTATATGGTCTCCTACATGGCACCCCCATGTAAGGCTTTGATGAATTGACCAACTGATGCGTGTTGAGCTGCAAAAGAAGCAAGAACACCAGAGGCGACCACATCCATTGGACTAACTCTTGCCGTCTTTCCTGACTCCCTCGTCGAACAACGTATGTGGGTCAGAATGGTAAGGAGACTGATGTGCTCGTGATGAAAGCCCTGCCACCCCTGCATTATGAACTAGCTTCCTTGGCGCGCCATGCCTTAGTGCACAAGACATGCGCTTCGAGACAATCTTGTTCACGGCCGCGGAGTTCAATCTAGTTTCCAGCACACTAAGCTTCCTCGTTCCAGTCCGCTAGGTGCGTGGGCAGGATGGGATGAGGGACAGTTTCGCGCAGCGCGCTGTCAACAACTTTGTTGTGCCCGTGACTTGCATTTGCAACTTTCTTGTGCTTTCTTGCACTTCACGGACCACGGAGCAAGACAGTTCGATGCGTCCAGAGGCAGGTCCTCCAGATCCACGCTGCCAAGAACAAGGCACTTGCTGAGCGTCTCCAAATAATTCTCTGGAAGATGGGTCTTGAAGCGGCGCGGCACTTTGTTTTCGAGCTATTAGAACCCGCATTCTCAGCTGCGTCTAGGTGCATTGCTAGGTATGATACGGGAACCGCGCGGTTTGAAGTTCAGGGCAGAAAGCCAGTGTCCCTATCAGTGGCACGCAGGATTCTCTAGTCAATCATCCGCAGACCTGCGATTGAATCCAAGGAATTCAATTGAAGAACAAGGGCCGACGTGCCTGCCACCGTGACTGCGCTGGGAAGCTTAGAGATAGAAACGCTCGGAAGCTCTTCACCAACTTGAGCGTAAGTCTCCTGCAAAAAGGAATAGCACTGTTTCAAAAGGCGCTCCGAGCCAAAGCAGCATGCTTCCTCCTCTTGCCAGCCCTCATCAATGGAAAGGCCAGCACTTGCCTGCCGGCTGCCGCACGGCTTCGATGCGTCTTGTCTCCTATTTCTGCCCTGCCTGCGCCAAGGCCCGAAATAGGGCCTCATCAGCAGCTGCAGACATCGAGGCTTGGTCGTCGTTCAACCTCTCGGGCAACTTATGCAGCACGAAGCACCGTCCACATGCTGACATGCAAGAAGTTGCTGCATCAAATGTGTCGGCGCACATCCGACGACTTCCCGCAGATTTCGCAGCAGAGGAGGGCACAGCAGACCTGCACAGACAACGCTCTAGATGACATAAACGCGCGCAGAATGATTCCGCTTGATTGCAACGACCAACAAGGCAGACGGCTGCAAAGTTTCCAGTTGCGCGTGTTTGCCTTGGACAGACTTCATGCGGCCACACGATCACACGATGTGCATGACGTGTGCTGAACACATACCTACAGAAATGCCTCGAGCAGTTGAATGTCGTTCGAGTCATTCGCTTGCGATAAACAAGCACTTCCAGGAACAAGAAGATTCGAGTTGCTGCGTTTCTTTGTGGTCCGCTTATATATGCCGCGACGGCCCGTCCCTGCCCAAGTCGCAGATGCCTGCTGCTGGTAGCAGGTTGGAAACCATTGCTCCTTCCTTCTCAGCTCGGGTCAGGCAGTCCGCCATCTTAAATTGCTGAGCCATCTAATTAGCAAAAGATATGGGGAGAGGGAGAGAGGGGGATAGCGAGTCAGCAAGCAGTCCTGTTGCAAGAACTTCGGCCTGCACAGGATTTGGAAAGCATAATGTGATGAACCTCCAGGCCTTGGGGGCACTTTCTGCCTCCAAGTTCTCATCAATGTCAGCCAAATCCGCAGGTGCCTTGCTTCAAAACATCCGATGCGCCAGCCGGCAAGCTGCTGGATCAGGCACCACAAAAATCAAAGTGGACCAAGTTGACTTGCTGACATGCGAGATTTGCAAAGAGCCATTGCAGACTGGCCTGCCGCCGCATCCGCTGCCCAAGTGAGGACTTGCCAGCATTCTGCAGAGCGGCAATGCTGCCAACGTGGGGGAGCTACATAGTAACAGCAGACAGTCAGAAGCCAAAGCCAAAATCGGATGTGCCTGGCGGGAAACTGGCTGCAGCTGGCCTCTCGGAAGTGAAGCAACGTGCAGCTTCAGCAGTATATAGGATGTGGAATCGAGCCGCCTATCTCGTCTCGGAAACCATACTTTCGAATGGAGGTTTAAAACAAAACTGAATTGCTCGCCCGAGAAGCGATGATTGAACAGCCTTCCAGAGTCCCACTTCAATCATGCTACAGGGCCTGCGGAACATGTCCAATCGAGAGGGAGACAGGCAGCCGAACATATAGAGAAGCTGACCAGGTTGGCAAACAAGGAGGGAGGCAACCAGATTTTCATGCTTTCACTTCACGGTACTAAGAAACAGCAACTGATCATAGTCGTCATAGTAGCACTAACACCAACGCCAACCTGCTGTCACTTCTTTGCATCATCTCCTTGGCATTGCGGCCTGTAGACCTATGAAATGTTGGTGCTGGTCCTAGCGAACAGAACAGCACAACCGATCGAAGCATTTAAGAAGAATCTCCGGCTTGCTGCCCGTCATGTCATTGCAGGCACTGATATGTAACGTGCTCACAGAAAATTGCACCGGCCAAGTCCACTTGCCTCCAACGGGATCTGGCACCTGAGCAACAGGCCAAAATCAAGAACAGGACGGCATGACCGCGCTCTGCTCGAGGAAGCATGCGCTGTTTAAGCAGCCTTAGGCTGTTTGCGACGTTGCAAGCCCCTAGCTAAATGTGGCAACAGGTTGCCTCCTGCCACATTGCGAGCTGTTCCGCCACACCACTCTTCTCAAAAGAGTGCTGCTGTCTGACAGATAAATCCTATCAACCTATCGCTGAACCAGACCCTAGCACCTACTGGGCACATGAATGAAGCAGGCCTGCAACATCATTAAAGAAACATCGCGCTTTAGTTTCACCGCGTCACGTGGACATCGATGCATCCATGTGCCCGACAGTCTGTACAGCAACCTAGCAAGCAGATTCAAGCTGTCCGTCCGTAGCTTACTGTGCTCTGGCATCTTGCTTCCTAGACTTCGCCAGGCTTTTCAAGCCACTTCTGCGGCAAAGTCAGCCGAGCCAACTGATGAATTCTCCAACTGTTTACATGACGAACTATGCGCTCAGATCAGACTAAACCTTGCAAGTGCTGAACACCAATCCATCTCAGCCCAACTGCCCAATGCGCATCATGTCACTCCAAAATCCAAAACAGCAGGGTGGGTTACTACAGCAGCACACACAGACACCTACAGCATCTTATAGCGCGGTAGCCTTTCGGATGGTGCCGAGGGGTCATACCTCAGACGTCTACAACAAGGCCTTGGGCTTCCAGAAAATTGTCGAAACGAGCAGTGGGCCAAGGCGATTGGGTTGGAGCTGCACCTTCACGAGCCGCCTAGCAAGTCCAAACTTGCAGTGGCACGGCCGATTAGCAACTCAAGGCACATATGTGTTTCTTATTCGCTGTCTATCTTTATGTATGTATACACATATGTGGTACCCTCCCCATGTACCCTTCAGCGGTCATAATCCGCAAAAGGTGAAAATGTAGAAAATGCAACCCATCGAGCTATACGAATGTTTTTGGACAGCGCAGCCCTGAAAACGCCTCTTGAGGTTAACCCCGGAGAGGACCTAATAAAACGGCTACTTGCGATTGAAAGCTAGAAGTCGATGTAGGCTGAAGAGTAGCAGCCACGCCGACCATCCGTTACTGACTCCGCAAGCGTAATTGCTTGTTCTACTACTGAAACGCATCCCTACCGTCAGTGGTCCAAAAACCATGCGTCACTGGGGAGACTTATGTGGAAGCCTCCTGTAATGCTAGCAGTGTCTCATTAAGAAATCATGGATCCCCAGTTCCAGCTGAGATATGTATGGACTCCTGGTACCACTGTCTCACGAGGCAAACAAAGAGATCCCTAACTTCATGTAGACTTTGTAGAGTATTTCCATCATCTGAGTTCAGGAACAATACCTGAGGAAAGTGGGAAACTCAGAAAGCCCTAAATTCCAGTCAGGATTGCTGCAAACGCAATTCCAGAATGTATCGACCTGGATTCCACCAGGACAAACTGAAAAAAGCACATTGAAGACATGATGGACTAGCCTGCTGCAGTGTGAGTCTTTGAAATACTACACTATAGAATTCAAAAAGCTCTCCGCCGTCCGAGAAGCAACACAAGGTACACAAAAGCGCCCACAACTGGCTCCAGAACTTCCACTGCCTACCAATGAATGATCGCTGGTCATGAAAACGACATAAGTTCAGGAACATATTAAGAGGAGGACGTATAAAGAGGCCTACCCAATTTCTTTGAAGGCAGTCACTGTATAATTAGGCAATCAGGGAGATCTCTATATCTAGTTTGTCGCTTTGAGCTGTTTGTGTCGAAACGACAGCAGCACAATGACAGTGGCTTGCAATTACCCTCCTGGGCATGGAGCCATAAAATGCAGTTAAGAGCAGAACATCACGCGACCCCTCCTTCTCTTTCACTTTCCTTATACCTATTGATATTCTAGCATGTCTAAGACCCAAAAAAGAACATGACAGGATCCACGGACCCGAATGCGGACACGTGACAGGTGACACCTACATCGCAAAGATAATAACACACCACGTGCGACACCAATCCAGGGTCATGCTGTCTCCTCTCCTGTCTCCTCTTTCTTTTCTCCTCTCTCCTCTCTCCTCATGTATCTCTTCTCTCTTCTCTCCTGTTTCCTCTCCTCTCTCTTCTCTCGTCTCTCCTCTCTCCTTTCCTCTCGCTTCTCTCCTCTCCTCTCTCCTCTC